AAAAAAACTATTGGCATTGAAATTTTCTCACAAAAGTTGAGGAGTGCCATCAATAACGAAGCGTAACAACAACAACATGTACAGGGCAATGAGAAAAACGGAAGAGCAAAGAATGAATCAACATATAAACCCAATTGAAACTAGTTTTGCGATCTTACCTTATCATCAATTTGGCATTACAAAATCCAAACAAAAATTTGAATCCCATGTTTGCAGCCCAATGTGAGAAAATTGTTGCCGGCATAGAGGAGATAGTCACCGGAATGCCGGCGTGAGTGAGATAATCACCGGAATACGCTACTAAACAAGTTCTCAACGTTGATGTGGTCAGGAACCTCTCCGTTCAATGCTTTATATTTTTAAAAAATTACACTCACCTCCCTCACATTTGTCAAAATATGTGGACTTCCTCTCTTGTTTGAAGAATTACAACCTTCAGATTTGTCTGATGAATGACAAATTATTACTTTACCCTCCTTTTTAATTATTACACAAGAACTTAATAATATATTAATCACCATCTAATCTTAAAACCTTGATAACTTTAATATCTAAATAATTTGGTGGCCAATAAAAGTTAAAACAATTCCTTGACCCACCTAAGAAATCAAGACCACCCAATACACACATCAATGACATTACCACTCCCACACCCTACAAAGACCCCAAGATGTTAACAAGAATGCAATTTCACCATCTTCATAAAACTTGCAATAAGCACTAAAACTACGAGTCAAATACTACGTCTAAACAGTACATATGTAGATTTGTTAACCTAACAAAGTGGAACTTCAAAGGTATATAAGGTACAATTCGTCCTGTGTGTTTTGTATTACATAAACAAGTTGCTATCCACATGATGCAACTGATGAAACTGTCAACCAGAAGCAACCAAGGACTTGCCAGTTAAAAGATCCTAAAGACGATACGGGTATAACAAGAATCAAAGCTTGCTTATATATATATATATATATATGCGGACCTATAGTCACTAATGTGGCCAAGAAATAGACCTGTACAGTAAACAAATATTGGTCCCTAATGGCCAAGCCTAGCTCGATTTATCTTCTGCACTCTTTATTGCTTATAGCTCTTGTGCTAAAATGTCACTGCCATGGAAGGAAGGTATAATAGTGTTTTCTAGTATTAATGCTCTTTTTTATATAGAGAAGTGGTTTTATATATAGTTCTATATATATATATTACATATATATGTGTGTGTGGGGTTGTTTTCTGAGATGTTTGAGCTTATATATGTTTAGGTTTATGTTGTGTACATGGGAGAGCTGCCTAAAGGGGATGTGTCAGTTGCATACAAACACCATTCCATGCTCAAAAATGTTCTTGGGAGGTTCCTACGACTACCATTTCTACTACATTATATTTACGTTGTACAATTTTCACTGTCACCATTATAAAATGATAGTGTGCATTTATAATAATTAGTCAATAGTTATGTAGATCATTATTATCGCAACTACAAAAACCTGGATCCCTTCCTGTGTAGGCCTGCTTCACTTATCATGCATGTATTGGTAGTGCAATACATTACATCCTAATGTAACAGTAATATCACAAAATGTAACACTATAAAACAATAATATAACTTGATGGTTGCATAAGGATTTTAAAATTGTTGCGTTAGCGATGTAAATGCACATAACAAACATAGGATGAAAATAACACGAGAAAATCTGAGTTTGTGACCAAAACTAGGATAAATGCACATAACAAACATAGGATGAAAAAAACACGAGAAAATCTGAGTTTGTGACCAAAACTAGGGTGTTGTGTGCGTTATTTGCCCACACGAGACTCCAAAAAAAAAAATAAAACCAACAAACTTATTTATTTATTTTTGGTAAAAATCAATTTATTGGAAAAGGGGAAAACTGTACAAAAAGGGAGCCCCCAAAACAGGCCAAGACCCGAACAAGCCAAAACAGGCCAAGACCTGAACAAGCCGAAACAGGCAACCAAAATCAAAACTGATGTTACAAAACAGAGAAGCTGCTAACGAACACCAGAAAACAAGAGCAGACCCTGAGCTACAAGATTATATATCTAAACAAATAATGCAATTACGATCCATGATTTCACTTTGGATGATTATTTATAACTACACATTTAAAAGACTACTATAACAATATTAATCCTTTTTCGATTATGATTTCAAAATATTAAGTTCAGTTTTTCTCTTCTTATTTCAATAAATTGCCTTACCATTCAATAATAAAATGAAGATTTCTCCACTCTTGTAAACTGTCTCTTAAGCAATCAAATTTGTGCAATTGCAGTGCTTCATCAGCAAAAGAATCACTCATATATAGTTAACAAACTCATGATGAAGTCACAAGGTTTTCAGGTAGGGTTATTCATACAAGCAAGGGCGGAGCCAGCATAGGCCCAGGGGGGCCCATGCCCCCGTGGGCCCATGGTGGCCTATTAGTTTTAATTACAAAATGGCCTATAATTTATAAAAGTTTTCAAAATGCCCCTCCCCTAAAATAATTTTTTTCTAAAAAATGGCCATTAATTTTTATTACACATAGGCCAATAATTTATAAAAAAGTGAAAAATGCCCCACTGAAATAATTATTTACCCTTGGGCCAATTAATTTTTATTGCAAATAGGCCTATAATTTATAAAATTTTACAAAAATGCCCACTAAAATAATTATTTTTAAAAAATATCTTTAATTTATCCTTTCTTTTCATTCTTACTCCTCCTCCTCTTCTTCTTCTTCTTTATATTCTCTTAAAAAAAAAAAAAAAAAAAAAAAAAAAAAAAAAAAAAAAAAAAAACTACATTCCTTTATTCAAACTATTTTTTTTTTTTCTCTTCAAAGTTTGGTAATTAAATTTGTTGCTAACAGGACTCTTACGGTGTGTTTTATGTTTTTTTATTTTTTTTAAATAATTATTTTTTAAATTATTAAATGCTATTATTCCACCATTATTACAGTTCTATTTTTTTGACTTATTGTCTTATTTGCTTGAAAAAAATATAATTTATCATTTTTAATGAGGCGCCCCCCTGAAATAAATTTCTGGTTCTGCCCCTGCATACAAGTATATCAATGGAGAACATAAATATTTGTTTCTTGATCTTCGTATACTTAAATAAAATTGTCATGGTGTTGCATAAATGGAGGAAGTGATGACAGTAATTCCAAACCACATACTCGAGCTTCACACTACAAGGTCCTGGGACTTCATGGGTTTAACCGTTTAAGTCAAGACAAAGAGGGAGGTTCTCAAGGAGGAGAGGAGACATCATCGTTGGCCTTCAGGACACGGGTAAATGTCAGACTGTCAAAGTCAGTCTTTATCGGTCTGCTTTCTCATTCTCTGTCGAAGCATTTTCATGTGTTCGGTTTTTATAGGGATTTGGCCAGAAGCCGATAGCTTCAACGATGAAGGGTTTGGCCCTCCACGTGCGAAATGGAATGGGACATGCCAAGGCGCCAATTTCACTTGTAATAAGTGAGAACACTTTATATTCTAGCTTCACAGTAATTTATTAGCGTAAAGACCTCACAATTCAAGAACATCAACAAAAAAGAAGAGAAAAAACATATGCAGACCATTCAGTAAAAAATGTCAACTGATATAAAAAGTCTAGGGTTTGTTATACATCTTAAGAGACTAATTAATGATATGTATGAAATCACAGCAAGCTCATTGGAGCGAGGTATTACAACAGCGAGGACGCTTATGACACTACAGATTTCAAATCCCCTAGAGACTCGGAAGGACATGGAACCCACACTGCCTCAATGGCTGCAGGTGTGGAGGTGGCCGGAACAAGCTATCTTGGACTAGCTGAAGGAGTGGCAAGAGGTGGAGTTCCAGGCGCGAGGATTGCAATGTACAAAGTGTCTGGTCGTTTGGATGTTTTCTTGCAGATATCTTAGCAGCATTTGACGATGCAATTGCAGATGGTGCTGAAATAATATCAGTTTCTCTAGGAGCTCGCAGGCCACTCCATTTCTTTGAGGACCCAATTGCCATTGGATCTTTCCATGCCATGAAAAACGGAATACTGACCTCAAATTCTGCAGGAAATTAAGGGCCCTACGCAATATCCATCCCCAACTTTGCACCCTGGACACTTACTGTCGCGGCTAGCACCATTGACAGGAAATTTGTTGCCCGAGTGGTGCTTGGCAATGGACAAGTCTTCACTGTAAGTTAAAAATCTGCAGAACCTGATTAGCCGTTTTAGCAACATCTCCGATTTATCAATTTCTGTCTTCTTAATACTTGTCTTGACAAAATGAAGGGGCTCTCGATTAATAGCTTTGACCTCAATGGAACCTCGCATCCATTGATCTGGGGAGGAGATGCAGCAAATATACATTTGGTGCTACTCCAGACGTTTCAAAATACTGCTTTACTGGTGCCATGAATTCATACCAAGTGGAAGGAAAGATCGTCTTTTGTGAAATGCTCACCGCTGGTTCTGGGATTCTACTCACTAATGGTGTGGGTACCATCATGGCCGACTCGTCTATAACTGATTTCACCTTTAACTACCCATTACCAGCAACAGTTATCAGCACAGAAGATGGTCTCAAAGTTTTGGATTACAACAGATCAACAGAGTAAACAAACATATAGAAATATATAAGATAGATCTCATCTATATACTGATACTATACAGTTGGATATCTTAATTTTGAAGCTAGTTTTTGAATTGTCTTGACAGAGTAACCTCCAACTTTTTCAGAAATCCCATTGCCACTATTCTGGTTGGTGAGACTTGGAAAGACATTGTGGCACCAGTTGTCGTCTCATTTTCTTCCAGGGGACCCTGCCTTTTCGGCCTAGACATTCTCAAGGTGATCAATGGTTGCTATTGTTTCTAAATCTCTCTCTCTATGTTGCATTGATGATGAGAAGCCTGATCTCACTGCTCCTGGTGTGGACATACTTGCTGCCTAGTCTCCTGTGGCACCACCTTCCATCTACTATGCCGACACCAGGAGTGTCAAATACGTCATCTCCGGCACATCCATGTCCTGCCCTCATGTGTGATGTCTGTGTAAGTATATGTGTATTGTGTGATGTATATTGAGTAAAAGAAAAAGAGAAAATAAATTAAAATTTTGGTGGGACCCACCACCACACCCAAAAAGGGTTTGAGACCACAATTGGTGTCCATTTTTCTTCTCTCCCGCTGGCCCTTCCTTTTGTCTCTATTTCTTGATTTTTTTTTTTCTTTTTGAACTCAAACTTCATTCTTAGATTACTCCTCCACCTTTTGTCGGATTGAGGTGCCGTTTGAGGCAAAACGAAGCTCGTGTCAAGCTCTACACATCCATACAAGCAATTTTAGATTTTGCGCCCCTTTGGATTTCGAATCTTGAGACCCATTTTCTAGGGTTTTGGTACAATCTTGAGGTAGGGACATCTTAATCCACTCTCTTCTTGTTCCATTGTGAGTTATGCTCTTTTGTTGTGCTAGACATGCTAAATTTGAGAATTTATTTGCTTCAATGAGGTGTAAGTGATGTTTAAAAAAAATTCATGTCTTAGGGTTATGACTTGTCTATGTGAAAAACATGTATAGATGATGGCTTTGTGGTGTTTTTTGTGAATTATACCTCTTTTATGTGCTAACATGTTTTACTTGGGAATTAATTGTGTTAATGATTATTTTAATGTTGTCTAGAGAAATGTATGTTTATGCACATGTGATGTATTATGTGAAAAGTTTGCCTATGTGTTGAGTTTATGTCTATTATGTGTAAACTTGCTGAAAGTGATGTATGAGACCATGCTTAATTGTATTGTGCCAAAATTTCACATTGTTATGATATTGAGATTATATGTACATTCTTGGACATGTCATTGGGATGCATAAAATGGGAGAATTTGTCTTGAAATGAAAATGAGGAATTTTTGGGAGATAATAGTTTTTGTGAAATGGTTTTGATAAACCCGGTTGCTGCGGGGTTACCAACGGGCCGGAGGTTAATATAGCCTAGAGGGGACTAGGGAGTCGCCCTAGTGTGGTTGAGCTAGCTGGGCCCCATAATGACGCCGCGGGGTTACCAAGGGTCAGGGACACTAGCCAATCCTCCTCTCGTGTCGCGGCGGGGTTACCAAAGGGGGGGCTGTATTAACATTTGAAAGTGATGGTTTTGAGAATGAAAATAGGGAGTGTCATTGACATGCATTGCATTTCATTGCATTGCATTGCATTGTTTATAATTGGAATTGAATTGTATGTTGTATTTGATCCCCTACGTTGTATGATCCCTATCTCCTATTGGCCTATGCTTTGCTTGAATTCACAAGGACACAAGATTTGTGTCTTAAGTGTCACCTACTGAGCATATAACTCACCCTACTATTTATACAATTTTTTCAGGTCTTGGAAAAAAACCGGTGAACGACAACCCACCTTAAGCTTGAGCGATACTAGAAGCTCACTTCTGTGTCTTTTGTATATCTCCCATTATTTTTGCAAAGCACTAAAAGAGTGAAGGTGTATATGTATATTTTGTAAAACTTTGTCATGTAATGTAATTAAGGCATTTGATGATATTTTGGATGTGAATTTGATAACATGTAAACCTTATTGATGAATGGGGAGAGTAATACTAGTTTGAAGTATTATTGAGGTCATTTGATTGTGTATTATCATCTACTATTGCCGTGAATTCGGAATTTGAGCCGTGATAGGTTAAAAATGAATTTAAACAGGTTGTGATAGGCCTATTTTTAGGGGAGGTCATGCCGAATTTTTTTTGTTTAAAAAGTATTAGTTTTGAGTCGTTACAAATTTGGTATCAGAGCCAAGGTTCGAAAACCTTTAGGACGACGGGTAGAGGCCTACATAGAGTAGCATGGGATGTTGTTTGTATTGTTTACTTGACTACTTGCTACGTGATATCTTATTTAAATGAGCATGCTTAACTGCCTATGTGCTTACTGCTTACTTGTTTATGTTAAAATGTTTCTTGCATAGTCTTGCATGCTAAGTGTTGTACGGTATCAATTCTTGTTGAGTCGTCCACAGTCTTAGTGTCATGTTTCTGAATCGTTTTCTCGTTTTATAGCACGATGTCACGGCGTGAGGAACCTAGAGAAGTTGGCCCTAGACCAACAAGGGGTGATGTTGGTGAGAGCTCCAGCTCCAATCCGGAGGAGCTAAATGATGAGAACATGCTTCTTAGGAACTTGATTCCCCCAAGAGCTGTTCCCCCAAGAAGAGAGAATGTTGAAACACCCATACTCGTAGAAGTGGGTGAAGGTTCTGTGGCACTGGAGTTTAATCGATTGTTGCAAAATGCAGTGAGAGCAATTATTGTTGCTCAGCCGCAGTTGGTACCACAACCTACAGTTCGAGTTGAGGAGACTCCAGCTCAGAAGCGTCTCAAGATCATTAAGGGGTTTTCTCAGTTGATGCCGGTTATGTTTGAGGGCGGTGCAGACCCAATGGTAGCCGACAACTACATGGATCAAGTCGAAACTCAGTTGACCTCAATGGATGTGACAGAGGATCACTTGAAGATCATCCTAGCAACTTACAAGTTTGCTATGGATGCCAAGGTTTGGTGGAAGTCGATCACTAACCAGTACAAGATTAAAGAGATGAGTTAGGACAGGTTCAAGGAGCTGTTTTATGAGAAGTACTTCCCGCTTTCCAAAAGATGGGAGTTACAAGACCAGTTTCATAATCTGTGATACCCCTCGGATCCGAGACACGGGTTGATCAGGCCTAGGCCCAAACCCGAGGGAATATCAAATAATTAAAGTATTTTAAAGCGAACACAGATGACAAAATACAACAAAAGTGATGGAATAAAACTGAAAGTAACATTAATTATAAAATCCTCCATGTATAACTGAAAATTGAAAATCCAATCCTCCAAAACTTCAAGGTTACAACTTGGGAATCCACTGATGGACCCCTAACCAAAAGTTCAACTGAAACTGAAAACTGAAAATAGATAATGCTAGAAATATCGAGAGAAGTCCTACGTATCAGATGAAGGTGGGACTGTCCTCGACAAGCACGATCAAGCTCTAAGGCTGGAACCGTCCTGTACCTGAAAAGAATAATAAAGGAGTGGGTTAGACCCACGAGCAAGTTCGAATCTAACTGCAATCCATACAGTGACCCGATACGCAGATACACTGTAGACACTTCACAATATCTATCTAGTCCATACATATAAATATATCCACACTAAGGGACATTCACTAGTCTATAATAGGGGTCTCAACCTGAATAGAAGGCAACATGCAAATACGCACCCAAAGGTGGGCATGAGTACCTAGACCTAACAGGGTACACCTCAACCTATTATAACCAGCTACGCATCCACTGCATATACGCACCCTAACCAACGAGTCTGAGACTCAAGCTCAACTCGTGGTACCATAACCATATATATAAAGTCCGTCCAAATCTAGGGTAAGCAGTTCAACTATTTATTAAACTGACCTATAATAAACCAACTAGTTAGTCACTCCACTTATTCAGTTGATATGACTTAACTACCATCCGTTAATCCAGGAAGTCATCCAACTTGGTTACAGCTGATCTGACTTAGCCACAATTAGGATTCGATATCTTTCAATCCATTCCATTAATCCATTAGGTTAGGTTTATGCGTTTTGAGCTAAACCGTCCCTAGTATGTCACTGTCCCATACCGGTACATACCATCCTCCATATCCATGTAAATTACAACATATATAATAGTTCAATAATTTACAGACCAAAAATTACCATCCAAACAATTGCAGAAAACTATTTAAAGCTTCAGTAATTTAAATCCAAGCATTTAACCATATAGTTGCAGTAAACAATTTAATAATTCAGCAACTAGCCTCCTAAGCATGCATAGATCAAAATTAATAATTAAATGACCTTATCATGCACTTGAATGCATTCTAAAACAAGTTTTATAAACACATTATGGTCCATCAAATTGCTGAGTTTTAATTCAACAATTTATTCAACTTCCATTTGTTAAGTGCCTTAATTTTTACACTGTTTGTCTCGACAACTTAGAATTAAACTTTACTCAATTTAGGGTCTTAATAACACTCAAAATTCATTCCTTGATCCCTCTGTAGAGTTCCAAATTCATTCAAACAGTCTCCATGCTCCAATAGTGAACATAGTATGTAGAAAATTAAAAAAATCGTAAAATAAATTAAAAATACCAAGGGAGCCTGCTCAAGAATTTGGAGCAGGCTCTTTTCCAGCCTAGAGCCGGCTCTAGGACTCCCTAGAGCCGGCTCCACTTTGTTGTGGGAGCCGGCTTCCACTTCCATAGAGCCGGCTCTCACTTCCTCTGAGAGCCTTCGTCCCCGGTGCTTCGTTTCAATCCGTCCGCTCCTTCTCTGATCAAATCCAACCACTCTGTTGGTCTCTAAAACTAATCTTAGGACTCGTAATTTAGTCTAGAAGCATTCCCCAAGATTGTTTACAATAGTTTTGCAAACAATTACAGAGTTTAATCAAGCCATTTAAACTAGCATAGTTGCAGGACAATACTGAAACTAAATTGCGACATCAATTTTATCCCAACCCTTCTGTTCTTCCTCCAATTTTAAATTTGAAGTCTTAAATTACATCTAGTATCCAATCAGACCTCGGTTGATTTCAGTAAGATTCAAAATAAAAATTAAAACAATGGGACGTTATGCCAAAACAGAGTCAAGAAAACATACGCGCTATAATTATTTTGTAAATAAATTTTGCACAGATAAAACGATCAAGCAAATCATATATCAAACATGCATGGTTCAGTTTAAGGCCAATTAATCTCCTAGAGACTGTCTAGGAGCACAGAACACAAGCCAAAGGGAAGGAGAAAGATAAGAACTTGCCTGTATAGTTTTATAAACAGAACCTTGACGCCGTTGTTCTAAGCTTTCCGGCAACCACTGACTACCTTCTAGCCTCCTCTGGTTCTGATCTAATCCACCAAACACCTCCCTTGGTCCTCTCTGTTATTCTCCTTGACAGATCGTTACGACGCTCTGTTCTCTCAACTTCTCTCTTTACTGTATACGGGAATATGGTGAATAGGGTTTTAGAAACCTTCGGCAGACGTATACCCATATATTTATAGAGTTATACCCAAACCCTACATTAATTAGAGCCCTAACTAAATCCTAACCGGCCCATAGAACTTAATTAAATCCTGTGTCGGCTAAAGAAACTAAACCCTCAATTTTGAAAAATCGTTAATTAAAATACTTCCTAAATTACTTCCTAAATTAAAACCTTTAATAATCAATTAAATAAATAGAATGCAATTTAAACAAAGAAATAGATACTAATTAAATACACGTCACACAGGTAAACAATTAAATAAAATAATTAAACCAAATAATCATGCAAAAATACAATAAAAATAATAAATAAATGCCGAGACTATCCTTTTAAAATTAGGGGTATTACATTCTTCTCCCCTAACAAAAGGAATTCCGTCCTCGGAATTCGCCCTTACCTTCTTCCAATATTTCAGAAAACTGCGAGCGAATGATATCCTCCCGTTCCCAAGTGGACTCGGCCTCATTGTGATGGCTCCACTGCACACGAACCAAAGGGATAACCTTATTGCGAAGGCTTTGATCCCGACGGTCAACAATACGACATGGTGGCTCCAAATAAGTTGCATCCGGCTGCAACTCAATCTCCCCAACATCGATATATTGATACCGATCCTCATCACGCAGAAATTTCTGCAACATGGAAACATGGAACACATTATGGACGCGATCCAAATTATCCGGAAGTGCCAACCGATAAGCGACAGCTCCAACTCGTTCCGTAATCATGAATGGACCGACAAACCGCGGGGACAACTTCCCTTTCTTCCCAAAGTGCATAACACCCTTCATAGGAGATACTTTGAGAAGAACCTGATCCCCAACCCAAAACTCCAAAGCACGAGTGCGACGATCAGCATAGCTCTTCTGCCTACTTTGGGCAGTACGCATGCGATCTCGAATAAGAGCAATCTTTTCAGAAGTATCCTTGATGAACTCAGGACCTAAGAATCGATTCTCTCCAACCTCCATCCAACAAACAGGTGATCGACACGGGCGACCGTATAACGCCTCAAAAGGTGCCATCCCAATAGTCTTCTGGAAACTATTGTTATAAGCAAACTCCACAAGTGGCAAATATTCCTCCCAGTGGCCCTTGAAATCCAGGACATACGACCGAAGCATATCTTCCATAATCTGATTCACCCTCTCAGTCTGTCCGTCAGTCTGAGGATGATAAGCAGTACTAAGGTGTAACTCCGTACCTAAAGCCTGCTGAAAACTCTTCTAAAATCCAGATACAAAGCTTGAATCCCTGTCCGATATAATAGACAATGGAATGCCATGTAGCTTCACAATCTCTTAAATGTAAAGCCTCGCCAACTGCTCCGAAGTGTAGTCAGTGCAAATAGGCAAGAAATGAGCTGACTTGGTCAACCTATCCATAATGACCCATATGGAATTATGCCCCTTGAAAGAATTTGGCAACCCTTCCACAAAATCCATAGATATGCTCTCCCATTTCCACTCCGGAATTGGTAGTGACTGTAGAGCTCCTGGCGGCTTCTGATGATCAATCTTAACCATCTGACAAGTACTACACTGAGAAAC